TTGCCACTCTGCACTTCTCCAATGATTCTGCTCGCACCCTCACATGGATGTCCGGAACGTATCAGTGTTCAGCTCCTATAGCAAAGTTCTCCGAGATCATTCCCTACCCATTCATGGATGAAGAGACTGTTTCTGATGAGTTTGGCATTGTTCGGGAAAGTGGGCAGCGCACTAAGGATGAGATTGCCTTTGCTTACAAACAAGAGAAGTCATTTGTCACTGGGTCAATCAAAGACCTCTTGCCCCTCTATGACACCATGCGCCATATCCTGCGGTATACCCTCACTCCAAAGGCCGGGGATTCCCATAACATTCGAAGCTCCATGCTTGATGTCTTTGTGTATCTTCATCAGAAGAAGAAAGTGGATGTTCTGGATTTCATGTACTACAAGCTGCGTCAGTGTGTTCAAGAGAACAAGTCCTTGATCTATGCTCCTTTCATACAGACGTTGATTGAGACCGTCTGTCCAGCAAAGTACATTGCAAGCTTCAAGACTGCTGTTCCCAAGCGCAACTCCAACTGGATCCCAGCTGCTCCTGCTCCCTATGTGCCCATCAAGAAGGGGTGCAACCCTAGGCCTGAGGATCGTGCTACTTACACTCCAGGCATGTCCTCTACTGTATAGATCCCTCGTGGTAAGGCCAAGTCTGTTGGCTCTAAGGCCATCTTTGCCAAGGGAGAGAAGAAGTCGTTGTTCAAGACCTTGAGCAACATGTTCAAGATGTGTCAGTCGATTCAGTGTCGTCAGATCAAGGAAATCAACAAGGAGAAGCTTGTTCGGCGTGAGCAGAAGGCAGCACGGGCTGCGGCTGGTGAGGAGGTCGGTCCAGGTTCTGAGGACGTCAACAGTGAGGCCACTGCTCGGTCTTTCCCAATGGCCGGGTGGCGTTTTGATGATGATGATGATGCCTCGAGTGCTCCTCCTTTTGTCTAGTGGGTCTCGTGTCGCCATTTGTCTCCTTTTTGTTGTCTTGATGACAAAGGGGGAGAAGTGGTGTGTGTGGTGGTGTGTGTTCGTGAGTGTGTGTGTGTTCGTGGGTGTGTTGAGATCTCAAGCCTCGTGTTTCTCGCTGTTGGTTGGTTTTAGTCGGCTTGAGATACTCTTATTTCCTTTCTGTCTGTGTGGTTGTGAGCCTCTAGTGTTATTGTGAGACTCTAGCTTTATTATTGAACCTTGCTATTATCTTCGTATGCTTATTGGGTCTCTCATTATTTGCTCACCACACTGTGTCATGAGATCTAGGCACCGTTATAGGTTTATTTTGATGAATCTCATGACTTATCAATAATGATCTTGGTCGAACCTCCTATGGGTGTACTAGATGCATTCTTGTTTTCGGGCACACATATAGGGGGAACTATCATGATCATTATTTGTTCCATGGCCTTCTATCTATTTATCCTCTTTGCCATGCTCTAACCACGTTGTCATGAATGCACCAAAAAGGGGGAGATTGAAAGTGCTAATGGCACTTAAGCTATATTTTGGTGTGATGACAATGTGGTTAGTTGAACTAATATCGGTTGCTAAAGTTTATCTCAGGTTATTGGTTCTAAACGCCCGCGATGGAGATGTGCGACCCCCCCATTTCAAAAAGGACAAAGGCGTGGTCTGTCGACGCTTCGAAGGTTTAGTTTTGGTTTGCTTAGAGTCGTAGGAAAGACCGCACTATTAAGAGGGGTCTATGTGGACAAATGTTGTGTGGGAATGCCTTTGCCGAGCCTTACTCTCTTACCCTTCCCACTCCAACCACCTCATATGAACCTAGTGTGTGTGCTGTGGTACTCAGAAAGTTGCAACAGTAAGTTACTGGGTACCCCGTGCACACGGGGTCTTTTGACCCCCGTGCGCACGGGGTACTGGGTAACTCTCTGGGTACCCCGTGCACGGGGTCTTTTGACCCCCGTGCGCACGGGGTACTGTGTAACTCTCTGGATACCCCGTGCGCACGGGGTCTTTTGACCCCCATGCGCACGGGGTGGTGCGATTGTCTCTGGATACCCCATGCGCACGGGCCTGACTTAGCCCGTGCGCACGAGGTCCAACGGGCAGAAATCCTCACCCTCACATGAACACTATAAAAAGGCCTTTCTTCCTCCTCCAACCCCTAACCCTAATGTCTTGTTGAGCTCCACCATTGCTACACCCCATTTTGCTCAATACTCTCAATCCCTCCACCCAAACTTGTTAAAACTTTGGGGATTGGGAGAGCAAGACCCGATCTACAACTTGACCAAACCAAATCGCGTTCCCCGCAACATTTCTTCCCCATTGACTTATTACTCTTGGAGCTTGGGCTCCTAGGTGGTTAGAGGTTCCTCCGAAAGCTTCCTTGCTTGTGGTGTGCTCCGGAGAAGTTTGTAAAGGTGTGGTGGTCGCCTTCAAGACCAACCCCGAGTGGTTCGAGGCTCATCCGTTGGGGTGACTCGAAGGAGAATACGGTGAGCCTTTGGTGGCATTCCGCAAGCTTTGGCTCCGGCACCGCTCCAAACGGAGATTAGCTCTTCCCCAAGGAAGAGTGAACTTCAGGTTAAAATCCGCGTCCTCGTCTCACTTGTGGTTAATCCTTTCCCGCACCTTTCTTTGTTGTTGTATGCTTGTTGGCTTGCTAAGTAGTTTGTTGCCTAGCTTTTCTTCTTGGAGCTTGCTTGTCATATAGGTTGCATTCACCTAGTTGCATATCTAGTGAACTCTTTTATCCGCTAAGCCTTAAAATCTACAAGAAAGATTAAAATTTGTAGTTTCCTATTCTTGGGTGCTTGGAACTCTTGGGGGCATATCTCCAACAGTTACAAGTTGAGAAGCTTATTACTCTTGGGTGCTTGGTACCCTTGAGCTTGTTCCTCTTGGGTGCTTGGGCACCCTAGACGGTTGGTGGTGTTCGGAGCTCAATCATTATGGTGTAAAACTCTAGGCAAGCGTCGGAGTCTCCAATTAGGTTGTGGAGTTCGCCCAGAGCAATTTGACGGGTTCCGATGACCGCCCCCAAGGGTTGCCAAAGTGTACGAGTTCGGTGACCGCCCCCAAGGGTTGCCATTTGTACGGGTTCGGTGACCGCCCTCAAGGGTCCCTTAGTGGAATCACGACATCTTACATTTGTGCGAGGGCGTGAGGAGATTACGGTGGCCCTAGTGGCTTCTTGGGGAGCATTGTGTCTCCACACCGCTCCAAACGGAGATTAGCATCCGCAAGGGTGTGAACTTCGGGATACATAGTCGTTTCCGCGTGCCCTTTACTTATGCACTTTACTTTGTGTTAGCCATCTTGTTCTTGGTCATATATCTTGCTATCTCATAGTTGCTTATCTTGCTTAGTATAAGTTGTTGGTGCACATAGGTGAGCCTAGTTATTTTAGGTTTTGTGTTTGACAAATTAACCGCTAGGTTTATTCCGTATTTGTTCAAGCCTAAACCGTAATTATTTTAAAACGCCTATTTACCCTCCCTCTAGGTGACATCCACAATCTTTCACATAGCAGCCTCAATATATCCAAGATCCATTTTATTACTGAAAGCATCTCATGAAGCTTGTATAACTTTTGGAAGAACAAGATCCCTCTCCCACATGATCTCAAATTGGTGGCACCTCGTATGCATAGGGGACTCCTGAAAAGCCCAAATCAATTAAGAACATAGTTCCAAGGTATCTAAAAAAACCTAAATTTGCGATTCTACCCTTAGTGTGGCTGAGAAGTGCTCAAGTCAAGCATTTTAGACCACGTGAGATGGCTATCATTCACTCCTGGCGCACCATAAACACACGTTGAATGCCACAAGAGATCTGAGTCTGAGGTGCAATCAAGAGCATCAATACAACGATCAACTTCATCTTTAACACCCATCATCAAAGATTCATGCCAACACAAAGCTTATCGTCCGCTCAAGCCATTATCATCAACGCTAGAAAAGCTTCAGAGTCCAATTCGTCATCTCAACCTTTTCATATTTTATTATTTCTGCCTAGTCTCATAAAGAAACACAATTTCGAGGGAATGCGACTGCAACAAAGTCACGAGCACACGGACTGTCCGGGAGCCCCCCCAGCAGTTCTAGATGAGTAGATTCATTGGTCTCGGTGGCGCTCCTGCTGGGAGGCCACCATTACTAACACATTTTTTTATTTTGTTGTGTAATTGAGTTGCCTTGGTCCTCTTGAGGTCTTGTTTAGGCAACGAGCTAGGCGACACCACCTGACCGGATCCATGTAACACAAGTTGATTGTCAGCACCTCCACTTGAACGGGGAGGAACACTCGAGGAAGCATTATAATAGAATTAGTCACCATAGGATTTTTTGAACATGATCTTCAACATTTAAAATTAAGCGCTGCTACTGCCAAACTTTTCTGATAGGGTGTGGCTAGATCTCAGTAGACTCAGACTTACCCAAGTCTAATCCCACAAAAAAAAGACTTACCCAAGTCTAAGTCAAGTGACATAACATGTGAGTAAGAAAAAAAAATAAAACTAAAAGAAAAAAATTGCACGGATCTCCACGTAAGATCCACAAATATAGCATCGACCGAGACTTAGCAATCCCATTTCTAATAATGTGGATTCTTAATCTCCCAGCAATATTATTAAGCACAAATTGACTTGTCAAACATGTATAAAATCATCACATCGCCTTTTTTTTCATAATTGGTTCAAAATTTTTAATTTGATATTTCTGTAACTTTCAGAGTTTTCATGTAATATTCACATAGCAGAACAATAACATCGGAAACCACACCTTTTTCCACGCCTAAATCATATCATAATGTAGTTTTCTCTACTAATTTAGTATCCATTTTAGAGGAAAAGACTATCACACGCAACGAACGGTGGCGATCTTCCCATCCACCATCCAAGCGCCACATCTCTGATCCTGCAAAACCCTAGCCGCACCTTCCCCAGACTATAAAATCCTCCACGTTCCATCTCGGCCCTCTTCTCTCCCAACCCTCACCCCCTCGCCGCCGCCGCCGCCACCCCCGCCCCCCAATCTCCCCGCGGCAGCCATGGCGAACATGCAGGAGTCGCTCGGCCTGGTGGGCACGATGCGCGGCCACAACGACGTGGTGACGGCGATCGCCGCGCCGATCGACAACTCGCCCTACATCGTGTCCGGCTCCCGCGACAAGTCGCTGCTGGTCTGGGACCTCACCAACCCGGTCCAGTCCCTCGGCGACGGCACCGTCGGCACCGACTACGCCGTGCCCTTCCGCCGCCTCACCGGCCACGGCCACTTCGTCCAGGACGTGGTCATCAGCTCCGACGGCCAGTTCGCGCTCTCGGGCTCCTGGGACGGCGAGCTCCGCCTCTGGGACCTCTCCACCGGCCTCACCACCCGCCGCTTCGTCGGCCACTCCAAGGACGTCATCTCGGTCGCCTTCTCCGTCGACAACCGCCAGATCGTCTCCGCTTCCCGCGACAACACCATCAAGCTCTGGAACACCCTCGGCGAGTGCAAGTACACCATCGGCGGCGACATGGGCGGCGGCGAGGGCCACACCGGCTGGGTCTCGTGCGTCAGGTTCTCCCCCAACATCCAGCAGCCCACCATCGTCTCCGGCTCCTGGGACAAGACCGTCAAGGTCTGGAACCTCACCAACTGCAAGCTCCGCTCCACCCTCGCCGGCCACGGTGGCTATGTCAATGCCGTCGCCGTCAGCCCCGATGGCTCGCTCTGCGCCTCCGGCGGCAAGGACGGCGTCACTCTGCTCTGGGACCTGTCCGAGGGGAAGAGGCTGTACCAGCTGGAAGCCGGCTCCATCATCCATGCGCTCTGCTTCTCGCCCAACCGCTACTGGCTCTGTGCCGCGACAGAGGAGTCTGTCAAGATCTGGGACCTCGAGTCCAAGCATGTCGTGCAGGACCTCAAGCCAGAAGTCCAGGTCTCCAAGAACCAGGTAACCTGCTTGTTTTCCTTTTCCTGGATCGTTAACCTGCTTGTTAGATCTGCTGTGATGTTTGATTATGATGCGTCACTGGATATTTGCTGGGATAGTTCCATTTTGGCCAATCACAACATGACGCCCCTTGAAATTATGCAGTAGGGTATCTTGCTAGTTAATTGTACTGCGCAACTTCATGGCTTGTTGATAATTCGATATCACTAATTATTACATTGTGATGAAAGTGGAAGTGATTTTTTTTGTTTCAGTTAATATGATAATGTCTTGGTTTGAATCATAATGTGATTGGCTTGGCTTAGCTTGCCTTAAAAGCTTTCATGTTCTTTCTGCTCACATGAATCTAGGGTTGAACTTAATTACTCCTTCCGTTTCTAAATATAAGTCTTTGTAGAGATTCCACCATGGACTACATATGAAGCAAAATGAGTGAATTTACACTCTAAAATGCATCTACATACATCACTATGTGGTTCATAGTGAAATCTCTACAAAGACTTGTATTTAGGAACGGAGGGAGTAGAAATTTATGTCTTGTCTTTATTTGTCTTTATGCTCGCTTGTCGTACACTGAACTGTTCATGGTAGATACCCTTGTGATCTATAATGTATCAACTGTCTATGGATAGATACCATGTTTTAGTACCCTGTGGTTCAAATTTGCTGCTGTTCAGTTCCATCTTGAAGCTCCATAACTAAATTTGCAAGTGTAGCAGAAGCATGATGCTGTCATGTCCAATTTGGTTTGTTTGTTTACAGATGTTCGTAAAATGTGTCGAAATCATTCTTTTTAGTGATCTGCACACCTGAACATTGCTGTGTCTTGTTGATCCTGTTTTACTGCTACCATGAATGTAATTTTGTTTCAACAGTTTATATTGGGAGCAATTGTGTAAGTATTTGTTACACTGTCTGCAATCTGTATAATCTTCTGTTGGAGAGGATCTGCACTATTGTATTCTCCATTAGCTTAACAGTCTACTTGAACCTACTTTATGACTTGTCATTTTTAACATGTGTATTGTTACAACTATGTAGATGCTGTACTGCACAAGCTTGAGCTGGAGCGCGGACGGAAGCACCCTCTACACCGGATACACCGACGGAACCATCAGGGTCTTCAAGATTCAAGCCGGGTTCGCCGGGTACGCGTAGGAGTCTTGCTGGCCGAAGAGGTTGTAATGCCTGTCAAGTTTTTGACTGTTCTGAGGCACTTGGTCTGCCTGGTACTTTCAGCTTGAGTTACTATTTACTTTCTGCTTAGGTGATTTGTTGATGAGCACATTATGAGGTACTATGGAAGACGATCTGTTTCGCACCAGGGTTTTGCTTTTGACTGCTGCTTTCAATATACTGCAACTATTTAGCCGCGCCTGATCGTATTTGTCTTTGCGGGTTACTGGTTGTCGTTTGCGTTGCCCTTGTGAGTTGCTGATTGTTTGTGAACTGTGGAGTGTTGTTTTCCGGTGATCCCCTTTGTCTTGCAGCACTTGTTCAGTGCGCTTTGCATGGAGGAGCTATTCTCATCAACTTCGAGTCTCTTTCCTCTGGTATGACTGTCATCAGCTCCTTCTCTATAAGAAGAGCTCATCTTGAGTGCGATTCGGATCAAAACAAATGGACGGAGCCTCGTTTTGCCGAAGCAAGTGTAGGCTGCACAATGTCTTGAGCACTTGTTGCTTAACTCGCTGTACCCTGTGAGCATCTGTCGATTAGCAATTGCCCTCTAGTTATTGATTATACCCCGTGGAAGCCCGAAGCATGACTCGAGTTGGATTAGTCACAATCTGTCACCTCCGTCTGACATCATCTCTGAACCCAGCCTCTCCCATTTTATAACCCTTCCCGATTGCGAATTTCTCAATGCGTAATCAGTCTCTTCGCCATCGTCGACCAAATCAGCAGCCTCGCGTGCCCACGACCAGGTCCATGTCCAACGCAGCAGAAGCAGGCGCTCCATTTCCTTCTCTAGCCAAGTAGCAGACGCAGCGCTCCCATTCCTTCTCCCTCGGCAAGCACCACGCCGGTGCACCTGATCCCAGAGCGCAGCCATGTCCTCCCTGTACAAGCAGCTGGGCCTGGGCGCCGCCGGCTCGCCGCTCACGGCCTCCCACCTCCTCATGCTCGTCCTCGGCGCCGGCTTCCTCGCCTTCACCGTCTTCGTCGTCCACCCCAACGACTTCCGCCTCCAGTCCTTCTTCTCCGGCGGCTGCCCCGGCTCCCCGCCCCACGACGCCGTCCTCTTGCCGGTCAAGCACGCCGACGCCACCACGCCGGCCAAGGCGCCGGTCGAGCACCCCGGCGTGCGCGTGCTGATCGGCATCCAGACGATGCCGGGCAAGTACGAGCGGCGGCACCTGCTGCGGACCGTCTACGCGCTGCAGCTGCAGGAGCACCCCGCCCTCGCCGGCGCCGTGGACGTGCGCTTCGTCTTCTGCAACGTCACCTCCGCCGTCGACGCCGTGCTGGTGGCCCTGGAGATCATGCGCTACGGCGACATCATCGTGCTGAACTGCGCCGAGAACATGGACGGCGGCAAGACGTACGACTTCTTCGCCACCGCCGCGCGCGCCTTCCCCGACGGCGCCTACGACTACGTGATGAAGGCTGACGACGACACGTACCTGCGGCTCCCGGCGCTGGCGGCGTGGATGGCCGGCGCGGCGCGGGAGGACGCGTACCTGGGCCTGCAGATGCCCTGCGACCGCGAGAACTTCTACCCGTTCCCGCCCTTCATGTCCGGCATGGGGTACGCGCTGTCGTGGGACCTGGTGCGCTGGGTGGCGCGGTCGGAGGTCAGCCGCCGCGACCGCGTCGGGCCGGAGGACATGTGGACGGGGCGGTGGCTCAACGTCGCCGGCAAGGCCAAGAACCGGTACGACGGCGCCCCCAGGATGTACAACTACCTGGGGAGCTCCCCGGCCAACTGCTTCCGGCGCGGCTTCCGCCCGGACACCATCGCCGTGCACATGCTCAAGGACGCCGGCCGGTGGGCGGAGACGCTCGCCTACTTCAACGCCACCGCCGCGCTGCCGCCGTCCGGCCTCTACCACCTGCCTTGAAACGGTCCTCGTTTTGCTTCTTGGCTCGACCCGGTCGGCAGTGTGCGTTGAATTTGTGCGGGTGGTTGTGGTTGTTGGATAAGAAGAGGATAATTTGACACGTCCATTTGTACGTCATACATTGATACATACATTCATGGTGTCTGTCCAGTGCGTGTATTTCATTCGTAGTACATACTCACTTCGTTTCTTTTTTACTTCACATACTAGATTTGTTTAAATTCAAACTTTATAAAATTTGACCAAATTTATATTTAAATATATGCCATAATGAATCTAATGATATTACCCGCAAAAAAAAAATCTAATGACATTGATTTTGTATTGTGAATGCTAACAATTTTTTGCATAAACTTGGTTAAACCTTGAAGAATCTGACTTCAGACAAACCTAATTCGCGGAGAAAAAAAAGGAGGGACTACATACTTTCATGGTGTTGGTACCTATGGTGATTCGGGTTTCTATACACGTCTTCTCCTTTAATATATGATATACACGCGTGTGCATGGTGTTGCTACATTTCTTTTGCCCCACAACTCTTTCCTGATAAACAATTCAACGAAGTACATAAATTGATATCGTCCAAAAAGAAAGTCAACATACGCAGTGAAGTCTTGTTAATCTCTTCATGCTCGTTCCTAGTTCGAAGTATCTTTTGGCCAAAGAAAAACCCTCTTTCTGACACGATTGCCTAAATGTGACGAATAACTCACTTGAAACCATCAGCAATGTGTTCTGATGGTACTACCATCTCGAACTTTTTGGAAGAAAAAGAAAACTTCCATACCAAGTGAAGCAAGGAGTATCCAGATGAAGATAGTTTTTCGAAATATATTGGCGCAAGTGTTCATAATGGATTTCATATAAAGGAACATGTTGACACAACTCAATTTAAGAATCAATAGTTATTGGTAGCAGTTACGTATACTAACCACAACAACATACACAAGTAACTACATATAATTTGAACATCAGCTACAAATTATTTTGGGCACTCAACAAAAGTAGCTATGACAAATTCAGATGACAACATGAAGTTATGTAACTTCATTAGCACATGGGTCAGAGCATGAGGTTGTTCTCATTGCACTCGCCACACAGTAGCATCGCACCCCCTCTGTTTGCGGCGCCGGCCATGATGATGACGACCTTGCGCCATCTACACGGTGATGGTAACAATGGCGTGTTGGAACAAGGTCTCCAGCCTGTCCTTATCTCTACAACGTCCGATCTGGCATTAGTGAAGAGCATGTGAGGATAGGTAATGCCAGATCTGTTGGCTCTCTTTGAATCTTATTGGCAGCTGGTGTGTCAATCAGGGGCAGTTGGTTGGTTTTGGTGCAGTGACTTCAACCTCTTTCTTTCATTTTGTTCCGCGGCAAGGTCCGGTTTCACCAGCCCTCTCAATTGGTGGAAAAGGTTGCAAGCCTCATTGCTTGGGGGTGTTACATGCCTACGTACAAACTGCACACGATGCTACATGGTGTATCATAGTGTTCCATAACATGTCAGTCATTGGTTCTATTGTAGTTCATTGGGTCAAAGTCTATCATATTGTTACATTGTGTGTCAATGCACATCAAACTAATACAAAGGAACTTGGTGTCATTTGGTGAAAACTTAATGTTGTGTTTCATCCAGATCAATGTTGTTCTATCATGTCCTGCAGAAACAATCATACGGTTTTAATGTGATTCATCATGTTCCAAAGCATGCCATAATACTTCAGTCTTTGTTAATGCGCTTCAAACATAAAATTAAGAGTTTCTAATTAAATTTTTTATTATCAAGTTTATTAGGTTTTTCTGTGTTCTACAGTGCACCATTGCATTTAATAAAGTCGCACCAATGTTTGTGACAGTTAAAAAATGTCACATGTTTCAAAAAATGTACTGCTATTTTAAAAAATGATTATACAATGGAAAAATATTTTACTAATTTTTAAAAAACGTGCGCACCATTTAAAAAATATTCGTGAGTTTTTAAAAAGTTTCTCAAATTTTATACAATGTAAAACAAAGTGTTTGCATACTATAAAAAAATGTTTGGTACCATTAAAAAATGCATGTAACATTTTACAGAAAAAATACATCGATTAAAAATAATGGTCGTGACATTTCAAACAATGTTTATAGAATGTAAAAAGTGTATTCCGATAGGTTAATTTTTTTATTTCTACTAAAAAATGTACAACAGATATTTAGATTTTTTTACTGTGTATTCAAAACATACATTTAAACAAAATGTACATCATGTATCTGAATAATATCCAAAGTGTATCATAAAATGCTTCACGTATGCTCTAAAAACGTACATTGTGTACTAAGAAGAAGAAGTCATGTGTGGAAAAAACCCCAAGAAAAACTGACAAAGAAACAAGAAAAAAGCAAAAACAAGAATTCCCAAAAAACGAAGAAAAAAAGAAAGAAATAAAAGAAACCAAGTATAACAAAAAAGAAAGGAAGACCAAAACACGAATGAGAAAACAAAGAAAACCAAAGCAAAGAAAAGGAAAACCTATGAAAAACAGATAAAACGAAAGAAAACACAAAAGGAAAAAATAGCAGTAACATAATGGACCACACGTACCGCGCGCAGCAGACGAAACCTCACTACTGGGCCTATCCGCTGGACGTCGCTAGTAGGCGATTCGTATTAAAAGACGGTACATGTGACATATAGCCATGGCGGAGTGGTGGGCGTGAAGAGAGGTAGTAGTCTCGGTCTTTAATCAGCCCATTGCCTGACCTAGCCCATGACAAATTAAAGTGACGCTATTGGTGGAATATAGGAGATCACTAATTACGAGGTACCCCTTGCAAAAGTCACTTTCATCTTCTCATGCGCTAACAAGTGAGCACTGCATGCGCGTCACTTGTCGCAGCCTCGATTTTTTTCTTCGTAAGTTTGTTTATTTAAAAATTTTTATCTCTTAAACCGTGCGTCCAAATCTCGAACCGTTTTCATTGTTTGATTTCTCGCATCAAATTCTTCAAAACTAATCCCATCTTTATCAATATAAAATGACCCAAAGGGGCAAATCTAATTAATCTCGGTCTTTAAACCATGTCAATCTAACGACCTAGATTGTTC